GGCGAGTCGATGCTCTCATCATGATGCCCTGAGAATTCCGCTCTCGCTCGCCATCACTTTCAACATATTTTCTACTGTCTTCCGCTTTAATGTGATTATTTCTAATTAGATATTTTAATTATGCGTAAGTCTTTGAGGGGTTTTTTCAAGGTCCCCTGTTCATTAAACAATGATTTCGGTGGAGATGCGCTCGTGAGCCCATTTTCTCACGCAGGCATTTTTTTAAACTAAAGTATTATCTTGGACCACGATGAAAACACAATACAATTCATGCACGTATTAATCTGTATTTCCTGATACAATTCTCTTTGTAGCTTGCTAACAAATTTGACCATAGGCGTATTTGAACAGGCCAGTTCATCATCTTTTATTCGACAGCCTTAACCCATTTTAATGACATTTAATTCCGAGACTACAGAATGCCCAGCCTCTTGATACTAGCATAATCCAAGATCTTTTCGAGTGTCAATTTAAAATATAACATAAATAAAGCCAAGGGAGGATGATAAATAAAAAAGTCAAAGGAAAGTCAGCTACTAATCACAGCTTAATGTCGGTTTAATCCCTAACAAAGTCACTGTTGACAGTCGAATGTTTGCCAAGCCGAAATCTTAAGCTCACCAAAGAAAAAAAATGCACGGAGGCTCTATAAAATGGCCCACCAGAGAGCAACAAAATTCAAATGGCAAAGGAAACGAGATCCCTTACTTATTTTTCGGAAGGCCAAAAAAAGAGGAACAACTTTTAGTTACAATAAATTATATGCAACAGTTTAAAAAAAGGACCAAAGAGCTAACGATGTTGTGAGGGGCGGCGGTGGCGAGTCCCCGAACGTTTTTTGTTGCCAAATAAAGCACTTGAGGGAATTGCACATAAAACGGCTGACGGATGACAGGGGGAAGAGAAGGGTTAAGGCCATTATTGGCATGTGGCGAAAAAATCTTTTCATTTGGGAGATGCCAAATACTTGCAGGTAAAAAATAGACGACGGAATAGGGACAAATCCCAATATGCCAGGCACTTTATTGCAATCCCTTTAAACAAGTTTTCAAGCCCTCCCTCGGTTTCTTCTCCTTTTTTCTTTTTAGACATATTTGCTTGGACGCCTTCACGTGCGAATGCGGCAAACAAATGTGAGACTTTTATTTCAAATACTTGAGATTGTGTGCCTATGTGTTCGGGAGTTTTCCCCTTTAGAACCCTTTCTATTTCAACAAATAAAATATGGAATTACTTAACGGTCATGTCAGAGCGCAGACATTGTGCGCGTCTGTCTATTTGCTGGCGGTTGCCTTTGTGCTGGATTTTATTTGTTCTGATGTGATTTGTTTAGCTTACCAGTCCCATATGTCAGGTTGTCTTTATGTAAACTCTCGTCGAAAGTTCCCTTCTCCGACTTTCAGTTTGGGGGATTATGCGAAAGTAAGTGCTACATGTGTCTCTCAGTTGGGGCTTTAAAAGTCATTTTCCTTGTTTGTCCAAATTGTGTTTTATACTTTAAGCAAGCAGCTGCACACGCTGCGTATGATTGATATTTTCGCAGAAACAATTATTAGCGGCACAGTTTATGGCGGCGCATATTAATTTATTTACTCTTAAAAATATGTTAAATAGATTCAATAAAAATTAAACACATATAGCAAAAAATTATATTCAAGTTAATTCATTTGTAATGAAAATGTTAAGCAAAAACGCAAATGAAAACTTTGCACTCAACTTGAATAAACTTTTGGACAATCTAAAATTGTGTTTCTCAAGCTCATTAAAATTTAGCACAAACTTTCGCATTTCGAGCAATAAATTTTTCTATCAAGTTTCTTTCTTGTCTGACCAAATTTTGCACGCCTCATAAAGCCTCGGCGTATAAATAAAATTTTCATAAGAAGACAGTGTTTCTGGAGAAGGGTTGATACTGGGTGAAAAACTCATCAGAAATTCAGCATGCGTGGTCTTATGAAAACTTGATGCCTCCGTGATGACACTCATTGTCTTGAGTGAAAAGTGTGGCAAATGACATGAGCAAAGACTGGGTGGAGGCCTGGCATTTTCGGCTTTCATGAAATTGCCAGAGCACCCACACACATTTTAGTCGCGGTCTTTTGTTCGTCATTCCCCCAATGCTTTTTATACATTTGCTACACACATTTTTCTTGGGCGGCAAATGACTTTCAAGCTGCCATTTCCTCCGGATTTTCCACCCATTCACCCGCCAGGTGTCCCCTGTCTCTCGCAGTGCACAACAAAGTTTTCTAATGAAAAATTCAGCTGCTCAGTTAAAGTTTTGCTTATGAAAATGCAGCTGCCAGCCGAGGAGTGACCAGGTAACTGCGAAATGGAAATAGAGTATTTGAGTATAACTCTACGAGTTGAATACGGGTGGCTTAAGCTGCACAAACTGCCTCGAAATGCGAAATGAAAAGTAATCAAATTCTTGTTGCTCGCTTTCCAACTCGTGAAAAGGTTGAGCCAAGTTTTTACTGAACTCTAAAAAGTTCTGAAACGTGAAGGTGACATTTTGCCATAAAGATGAGCGTGGAACGGTAATAAACTTGAACTAGCGAACGGAATTGTTACAACTTATTTAATTAGGAGTCCGGATTTATTCTGTCCATTATTTTGCCTTTCATTGTCTTATGCATATCATAATTCCTTTAAATATTTTCGGTAACTCAAACTACTTTTCATTGGGGCTGTTGCTGTTATGTTCTTAAATACTTTTCACGAAAATGCTTATGAAAATAACCTTCCTGCTTTTCGCGAAACTCGGTTCCTCTTTAAAAGCATTTGCCCATCGTAGTTCAAAATTAATTTTGTTCTAGTTAAGAGATGGAAATTTCATTTAAGCCCATACCACTGCCGTCCGCATAATTTATAAAGTGCCGAGCGAAAAACTGCCCACCGAGCAGCTTCAGCTTCGGCAGCATTTTCCATCTAGTAACCGGCCGTCCAACCAACCGACCAACCAACCAACAAATCCGTCCATTTATCCATTGAAAGTCCGGCTGCGGCCATAACAAGGCGTGACTTACAGCGTACTTGAAGGGCCAGAATGAAGCAATTTTAATTTGCTGCTCTTGGCTGGATAGTAAAACATCAGCAGTAGCAACAAGATGAAGATGGAAGCCGGAAAGAAGAGGGGGCCGTGGTAGCCCGTTCCAAAGTTTTTACAGTCAAAATGCAGTGGGTCGATCTGGATCCCAAAGTGTTGCGCTTCATAAATAAAGAGGGAGAAAAGGACCGGGGCAGAGGATGTGGTGCTGGATGAGCGTCAAACTTATAGCTCTGTTGGCCAGTGTAAAAGCATATTTTCTGCTTTTAATTGCAATATATTCTTTTAGACAAAATGACTGATGATGACCGAGGCGCAGTGCTAAAGTTGCCCTTCTCTCCTTATGCTTGCTGGCAATTGCCGTCTTTCCTCGCACAAGCGGACAAAAATATATTGCCATGAAATTTGCAGATGGCACAGGAAACGGAAACCCAGCGGAGACAGGCATGTCTCCACACTGGCAAACTCCGTTTGACTGCTAAATGAACAAGGAAAACCGATTCTACGCTTTTCTCCGCAATTTCCCACCCGCTTTGTGCTTTCCACTTTCGCAGAGCTTCTAGGCACTCGGAGTATTGCTATTCTTGGTCACTGCGGTTATTTTTGTTATTTTTTATTACGGTACTGCAAACAAATTATAAAACTGTTACAGCTAGAATACTTTTGAATAAAATATAATAATAAAATCGTAGTTTATGATGAATTTTAGTCCAACTCTTGTATGCCTTTTATTTCTCAAGTGTAGCCTTCTCAAATCCTTTCTCCTTTCCAAGTGATACAAATAACTCTGAGATAAAGAGAGAAAGGGGGTTGGAAAAAAGGAAGGAGGGTTGCCTTTGTCTTAGTCAACGAGACCGCCATTTTGATGATGAATAAATGAAGGCCTTTGTGTTTTTTGACGTGGCCGAGGAGAATTTACCACTTTCATTTACTCGACATGCACTTCTCCGCCCGAATGGAATAATTAAAATGTGCTGCAGATCCTTTAGCTTTCTTTTGAAGTTAATACATTCAATATTTATGTGCATTTCATGTTTAGTTTTTTTGTTGGAAAGCTTAAAGTGCAGCGGTCATTAGTCATGAAAGTTTTCTCCTTATTCACTCGCCTTGTTATAAATTCCCTAATTTATTTCTCACTGAATCCAGACTTATTCCCTCCCAGGAAAAAGGGGGTGATTCAATTTTCGCTGAGCTGCAAAAATGGCAAATCGCTGAGAAAACTCATAATTTTTTCCCTGACCTGCTGTGAAGGCAGCGTAAATTTTATTATTGGCAATGCCAACTGCACGGTGTCCAGCAACTACAACAAAGTTTCCGGCTAAAGTTTTGGTTTTTTCCGCGCCCTATCAGGCGTTCATACACCCCGTCAATCCCCTTTCAAACAGATGATTAATGAAGCTTTGAAAAGTTGAGTGCAAATTTAATCAAGCGCACGGGCAAATCGAAACAATCGACGGAAAAAATGGCAAACTTATAATAAGCTCCAAATTGGCACAATATGCCCAGGAAAAGAGAATAGAGAATCCAATTATGTAAAGAGGAAAACTAAAACAAAAGAGCATCGGGCTTAGAAAATAAATTATGCAATAAGTAGGCTTCTGGCGCTTGTGATTTATTATTTGATTTTTGACATGTATTCGAAATGGTGGAGTGGGCCCGAATAACAAATGGGCTTATGCAAATTGTTTGATTCTCATAAAACGACACTACATAATGATTGATTCATTGAATGATAAGCCCCAACACAAATTGAACCAAGCATAAAGCAACATTTTTGTATCTAATAGCAAAATAGTGAAAATAAAATCTGTACATATTTGTTTTAATTTAAGTACCTGTCAAGTAGCCACATAAAAAAGTATAAATGACATATTACCATATATATTTGTTTAAGAATTATAGTTGCTTAAATAAATATCAATTTAAATTTTATATTCTTCTTTAATTACAGTTTACTTAATTCCCATGTGTGCGGACCTTTTAGTGGTGAGTATAATACTTAATAAACTTAACACAGCTAAAGAATAAGGAAACGCACTCCTAAATTTTTAATACATTTTATTTAATCGTCTTAAAAATAATTATAATGTTTCCTAAAATATTTCTTTTCGAAATAATCAAGTTTATTAAAAAATTTAAGACAAATAAAAACCTTGCATTTTCTGGACATAATACCCTCTTCAAGAAAATTATTGAGAATCTGATTGTACGAAAGCATCCGATTTACCTATTCTAACATATAGTTGAACCTCAAAAGATCCCAGTATGGTATTTCCTGGCAACAATGTGTGCTTTAGTTGCTGTTACTTAACCCTCTTCAAAAATATTATCTACTCTTACCTCTCAATCCAGTGCAGAAATTTCCTTTACCCTTTTCGCTGGCACGTGTTTCAAACTTGAGCAAAATTGTGCTGGCCCATAAGACTATTTCATCCTTAAAGACAACTTCATTCATCATGCTGTCCGTTTTATATATAAATTTCATTAAACTTTCCAAGGAGGGTCCAATAATCAAGTGGCCATTTTATGCGTATTTGTTCTCTGACGTATTCATGAGCGCCAACTAATGCCATCAATTTGCGAGACTTCCAGCAGACTCGAAATATTCCCCCCTGACAGGCGAAGCCCAACTTTTGACATTTCTTGGGCTTGGGGTGACCTGAACACTTGACAGGATCAGGACCAGGACCTGGTGTCCCGATGTCCCGGTCCGTGGCCCAATTATTATCATAATGCCAAATGAAGATGACAACATTGACAGCATGTTGGATGTGGGATGTGGAGCGAACGAGAAGCGAACTTTTAATGATACTGGTAAGGTCGCCGGCTGAGGGCCAATTAATCACTGCCGCCCAGTGTCTCCGTTTGAGTGTCACTTAATTTTTTATGATACTCCGCCTTGACTTAGCGTCAAACGTTTCACGTTCAATTGTTTTATGCCGTCTGCGCTTTGAGGTTACGAGTGGTCTCTATAAAGTGTTTTCCTCCCTGCATCCAACCGCATTTTCCCGCCCCTCGAGCGAATTGTTGTCGAGACTTTCGAGCCATTTTGAGTGCCTGGCCAGAAAGTTTTCTGTGCTGCCCGAGAATGAAACCGTCAATTTGCCGCAAATATACGTACACATTGGGTGGAGTGAACGGGGGAAGAAATATACCAACAACGAGAAGTTTTTAATGGCCATTGAGACCAGTTTATGCAGCAGCCACTCCCGTTCCGCATTTACCAACCACCTCCATCCTCATGGTTTGTTGCTATTATTAAATTAGTTGCGGGCGATTTGTGGTAATTAGGGTTAAATTCAATGGTTCTTCGAACTCGGTGGCAAATTGTAAAATTCTGTCACACCCTCTGGCAGATATTTTTTAGTTTAATTTATCGTTAGATTTTAAATGTTGTTTAAATTTATATTTGTTCAGAACAATTATTAACATCACATTAATTAACAAACCACTAAATAATATGGTGGAGTGCTACAGAAGTCATAAGGGTTTCGAAATAATAAAAAATATGCAAAGGAAAATGGAAGCGTTGTCTATAGTAATTAATCTATTGAAATTCCGTATTTAAAATAAATAGCTTACTTTTAGACACATTTATAAATAATTTCCAAAACAGTATTCATAGAAACCCCATATATATTTTTGTATTTTAATTTTATTTAAGCTACTGCCTATTTCAATAAACTAATTTTAACGTGAGTTAATCATGTGCAGGGATATGTTTAACCAAGAAGATTGCCGAGCTGCTTGGGTTTTCATAGGCATTCACCCGGGGACTAATTAGGTCGCATCACTGCATCGATTAGCTCACGCTCTAATCCCCCCGGGAATTACACCATCAACCTCCATACTCTGGCTCTCCGAAGGATAAGGATGCATATCCGTGCAGCTGAAATCCCATCAGGTGCATAAGCCCCTTGATGCCGGCACCTTCAACCACCGACGTCTCACTCGCCAATCTGTTCGTGCATGATGCTGAATCTTATTTGAGGCATCAGAAGCCGTATCATCATCATTTATTTATGCGTGGCACAGCGTTGCGTGGATGCATTATGGGCATGACACCATCTGCTGGATTCACGCGGTGTTAATAACACGTCAACGTTCGGGACGTATACCTGATGTGCGCATGTTTGTGTGTGCGTGCGTGCGTTGTTGAGAAGGCGCATGAAGTATACGCCGTGCTGGCATCTTACACAATACTGTCGCTGGAAGAAAGCCAGTTGACAGCGGCTGCAGCTAAACGCATTTAATGGGCAACGTTGTCTGCCGTAGCTGCCTCTTGCAAATTGCAATTAATTACTTGAAGTGCCGGTGGTGTTGCTTCCATATCCACGTCCACATCCTCATGCACCCATTAATGTCTGCACAATGCCAACCTGCACACCGCTTAAATGGCTGTCACGTCTGCTCCTCGAGGAGCAGCCAAAAGAGCCACCCTGTAGCTCGTCTGTCTTATTTATGAGTCTTAATAGCGAACCAGCCCACATAAGTTGGGCAGGTTTTCTTAACAGGTTAAGTAACAGTTTTCCTTCGCAAATCGAAAAGTCTAGCTGGGAGTGTCATATTGTACGCCAATTTAATTTCATTTTTGTGGCTCCATCTTAATGAAGGTAATTCAACAGTCTCGCTCTCTCGCAAATTATTAAAGATAATATGATAAGTCAGTGGGTAAAATCGCAAATTAATCAGCAATAATGAACGTATATAAAGCACAATATATTAATTATTATCTTACATTTTTTATTGAATGAACGAAATAAGAAAGGGAAAGGAAAATATCCAGAAAATCAGCTTAAATGCCATTTTCAGGGCCGTCTGAAAAATACTCAATTATTTGGTATTCCAGTAAAAGGATGAATTTCGCCGAAGCCTGTTAGGTTTTCCCATCGAAATCAGAGTGTTGCGAGATATTTGCATGCGTCACGCCTTAAAGCTGAATATTTGAAATGCCACCGACATTCGTGTTACTTAATTAAGAAGAAAAGGGAAACGTTTTTTATCCTCACCAGTGTATTTTTGGGCGTGTCTGTACACACGCGTGGACGGCTCTCAAAAACAGTATTTATTGTAATTTGTTTGTAATGATAAAAAGAATCGAATGGCACACGCGATTGGCATATAAAAAAAAACAAAAAGCGAGCTGGTGAATCAAATTAAAATTTCACCGACATTTAATATTCATTGAAAACATTTTGTAACAACAATAATAATGATACACGCAATCCAGCAAGCCGACTGACGGAATTGAATGTATATTCGAGAGTATATATACATATAAAATACAAATACGGGATATACACGTTTGATATGAACAACAAACCAAACTGTCGTGGACGGAATCGCAAACACATTGAGAGCCCTCAAAATCCTGGATAAATTTATTGATGGAATGTGTGGCGGGCCCATTAAGGTTAAACGGCTGGATTGAACAAATATTAGCATGAAAATGATTTACATTTTTTGCAATTGCCCCAAAGCGAATAAGATATTAAAAGGTTAAATTTTTAATGCACATTTCGTTTGAACTTCGGACACTCAAAAAGAAAGAAAATTATTTCTTAGAAGTCAAATTTTTTGGCCAAATTCTCACTTCAGTTTTAATTTTTTAATTTTATACTTGTTAAGTTGATTTATTTTGAATAAAGCACTTGTTGATTTTATATTTTTAATTTTATAATGGTAGTTTTAAAAAAATTTCATCTTTTAAAAGGATTTTAGTTGGAGTTTATTCAAGTTTTATTCTTCAATTTTTTTTAACGAACTCACTTTATTTGTTTGATTCCAATTCAATTTAACATTATTGAAGCGTAAAAGGAAAAATCACTTCGAAAAGCGTTTTAATTCAATTACATAGCAGCTGAGAAGATTCAGTGAGTTCGATTCGACTCCTTTTAACAATGTATTATTAATTTAACTAAATCACTTAATAGTCGAACTAAAAAGTTCTTTAGGCAATTCCAAACAATTTGAGACTCAATTATTTCAGTGACTTGTTCAACCAATATAATTTCGATATTTGCGTATAAAGATGGAAATCCAAGTGTAATCAGATTACTTTCCTTTTCTTAAGTAAGTTTTGCCACAAACAGAAGCAACCTATGATTTTGTTCATTTGGCACGTTAAATTCTTGGCAAAAACAGAAACACACTGGGCATTTGATTAAATGCCCGTTTCTAGCACATGCTTATAAATACACATGCATCTATCAGCCTTAATGAATTCAATTAATTTACTCCTGCCAAAAATACAGGATTAGACACACACACACATAAAAGACTTTCATATAGAGACCTCTTTCTCATCCTGAACTTTATTCTCGATGTCTGAGCTTCATTATGATGAGTGATTGTTGCTGCTGCGAGTGTCTGCGTGTGTCGAAGATTTTTCTCAGTCGATTCTGGGACATATATTCTATTTCCCCAACCTTTTTTCCTTACATGATGCCATTTTTTCTTTTGTTCGTCGCACGTCATTTGCGGTTTTATTAATGTGTGCTAAATGTGACGTCTACATATAATTTACGATCTACTCATTCATATATACTTATGCACTCCAGACGCGAATGGTTTATTTGTATGGAGCCTCGTGAGCTGGAGTTCCCCCAATCCCAGATGATTTGTTTGCCCACAATGATGCCAAGGCCATCAGTGTGAAGTGTATGTTTATATACCTCAAGTGCCAACGATTTTCATTCTATTTTTCACCAGGACAATAACCTAATGGCTATTTATTATTTTGTGCATTGGAATTGCGGTCACCAGGGGGTCTGGATAAATTGGCCAAACGGAAAAGATAGGCACTTTCAGCTAATTGAAGCTGAAAAATAGCCCCATCTAAATCAAATTCTGGCCATTGATTTCCATTTTGATTTTCAATTGAGCCAATCTAATCGAATGCATTTTAAAAAGCCCAACTTTTTGGGAAACCATTTTCGGTTGCCCATTGCGTCCTCAATTTATATTCACAAATCTGCAGCGAGCGA